TTTTGCCATAGGGCATGTGCGCTCGCCAGACAGACAGAGAGAGACAGACAGAAAGTGAGAAATCCTCCCCCCCGGGGGGGATAGCCATGCCGCAATCCCTTCTCCTCCATTCTCCTCTCGGGATCTTGGGCACACATGCATATGCGCCCGGCGTGAGTTTTAAGCCACCAGGTCCGGGACGCGAACAGCGGTCGACTATGTGGGAGTCCAATGACATAGCCATTACGCTAACTGCTGGTCCCAATCGCACAATTTCTTAAATAATCTAACTACCTTCTTTATTTTATTTATTTTCGGGGGGAAGGGGAAAGGTTTTTGCTATAGGGCGCGTGCACTTGCCAGAAAGACAGAGAGAGGCAGAGAGACAGAAAGCGAGGAATCACCCCCCCAGGGGGGATGGCCACGCCGCATTCCCTTCTCCTCCATTCTCCTCTCAGGATCCTGGGCACGCATGCACACATGCCTAGCATGAGTTTAAGCCACCAGGTCCAGGACTCAAACATGGAAGTCCAGCGACATTGTCATTACACTAACTGCTGGTCCCTCTAACTACTTTCAATAGCAAGTTCAGCTGGTAATTTCAAGAAAAGCAGTTTTGAATTGGTAAGAAAATTTGCTTAAAACTTAATGCCTAGAAACAGGTTAGTATTCTGTTCAAATAGTAGGTACATGAACCTACTGACAGCTCAAGACCAGACAAAAACTCTTAAAACAAGACAACAAAGCCTAGAAGAAAAGCAGCAATATTTTAGTCAAAAGTTACAGAATGCTATTTCACCAGTTCAGTCTCATGTTCTTAATCTATCTTCTGTTGTGGTTCAATCTTCCTGATTGAATTCTGGGATATAATATTCAACTCCAGACTTCTCCTATGATTAAGTAAGATCCAGTCCCAAGAAATACAAAGGACCCCAAATAGAATCAACCCAAGAAGATCTTCTCCAAGACACATTATAGCCAGACTGACCAAAACCACAAAGACAAGATACTAAGACTGGCAAGAAAGAAACAGCATGTTACCTACGAAGGATATCTCATAAGACTAACAGCAGACCTCTCATTGGAAACAATGAAAGCGAGGAAAGAATGGGAAAATATATTCAAAGTGTTAAGGGAGAAGCAATTTCAACCAAGAATACTGTACTTGGCAAGATTATCCTTCATATGGGAAGAAAAGACAAGAACATTCTCAGATAAACAAAACCTGAAAGAATTTACCAGCACCAGACCAGATCTACAAGAAGTTCTCAAAAGAGTGCTATGTTAGAAAAATTAAATGCAGACACACAGAAATAAGAGTTCAAAAACTAAGAAGATGGACATTTAGATTCCTTAAAGTAGATACTTAGGTATTTGTAAATGAATGCTAATTGTATCAAATTATAAAACATTGTTCATCACCTTATACCAGATATCTTATTGAAACATCCTTTAACATTCTCCTAATATGGGAGCATTTTGCCCCCAAAATTAGCTAGTTTTCGAACTTTTTCTCTTTTTTATTTGGAGCCAGTTTGCTGTTGGGCTTTTACTATTTCACATTTAATAAGTGGAAATGGTGTCTTCTGCATATCTATTATTTATGTTGCATAATCGAGCAATACAAACATCTAAAATAAAACACAGAATGCTTATAAAGAAGTTTATTTTTTTATGATTTCCGAAAGTATGTAGTGAAGACCATCAATGTCACATAGACGCGATCCTGAGGATAAAATATCTTAACTACCTTTATTGATTCTTTTGTTATCCATACATATCAACTCATTAAAATTCACGTTTCAAATGTCTTGGATTTACCCCCACAAGTGCCACAACGGCAAAAGTATTCTTACGTGCACATTTATCTTTATATCGCTTATTCACCGTATGTAAACTTGAAAACTGCTTTTCACAAATCTATGGCTTTACTACTTTACTATTTAACAAGTCACATTTTAAAATACAGACTACACAAATGCAATAAAACAGCAGTCAAGAATGTAGTTTACAATACATATCTTGTAACAACACAGACTATTTTGAGTTATCTGTTGGAAAACAGGAAGCAGCATATTTTACTGAATTCTGGTATGAGGCGTTTATGACCAGGAAAATTTACTTACAATTCTGTCTTATAACATTGAACTATTTCTCACATATATTATAATTACACATTTTTGAACAAATTTCAGTTTCAAAAGCGCAAACTGACTATACACAAATACAAAATGCTAGGAAAAGTTTCGCATATACACAGAAACATGCTTTATGCATTTTTACAATTGGGTTTAAAGGCCAATGTGGTTTTAAAATGCAGTACAAACACAATTATATGAAAAAAATATATAGCCAAGCCACCTAATATAACAGATTTCACAAATATAATTCATTTAATATTATGTCCCAAAATTTCCATGTAACATTGAAGCATTTACAGATCACTTAAAATAATATAAAAAAGGATCTTCAAACTACAAAATGACAGCAAATAAATGTAAATTATCTGCTTCTCTCTGAAAGAACAAACCTTAACTTTCAATTAAGTCAGGAAAGCACATTAAGAACTTTCTTTAAAGTACGTTAAATTTACAGATCTAGGGCAATGTGCACATGTTCCCAGCTATGCATGCAAACTATACTATGTGGTAAATAAAAATCAGTTACTTTAAAAGGCAGGGGGAAAAAATTAAAATAGCCAGAACTCTGTTCAACTGGTAAAACCACAGAGACATTGAACCCTAGATATTACCAAGAGGCTGGGATTAAAATTAATCATAAAATCTAGATACTATATCCTGTTGTTAAAATTTTATACTACTTTTGGGGAAAAAAGTTTTAAAATGAACCGGTGTTTTATAATAACCAATGTAACATCAGATCATTTCCACTAGAAACATTGCTTTTCTTACATGCCCCAAACTCGGTAAGATAGAAACCCTGACAAAGGAGGCCTGGGGAGAATGGGTCTCACCAGTCACTGTGAGACATGCCACTCTAAAGCAATGGAGCTGCTAAAATACATGTATTTGTTCTTAAGAAAAATTATAAAACTAGCAAATCTCTTTATATCCAGAATTATAAAAAGATAGAATCTATGAACTGGTATTCTAACAGGATCACAGAAAAATAGCAGACTGAGATCACAGCAGCATGCCCAGTCTGCCTCGAGCAAACAGTTCCCACTTCTTATGACCCAGTGTGTCGCTATGCTGAGAGACCCTTGATGGTCTTTAAAGTCGGACAGATAACCATCCTTATGGGCAAGGTAAAAGTGATCTAGCTTATTAAATACAAACAAAAATTCTTTCTTTTTCAGGACATTCTCTAAGGGATTAATTGACAGTAGTTCTTTTAAGGTAATAAAAGCTGTTGCAGGAAAAACTCATCGGAATTCTTCAGGAACTCCTGAAAGATATCCATCAACTTGATATTTTTACTCCTCCTCTCCAATCACAATTTTTTCCTTTTATATGAACAACTCAAATAAAATTTAATTAATTTACTTAAAATAAGAGAGAGCTTTCCAATGTTTCCACTCTAGGAACAAAAAAGTCCAGAGAGACTCAGTGCAAGTGATGAGGAGGTTGAGACCATAAACTGCAGACTTGGACACATGTGTCACTCCCAGGAAAGATGTCATACATTCATAAATTTGTGCTTTGTCTCACACTTTACAAGCCATGCAGGTTAGCCTCAACTTCAGTCCTCATTTTTAATGCATACACATTCATCCTATGTGAGGGACAGCAACTCAGCACAACTTCGGTGTTTCATCACAGACTGAAAAAGGAACACCCTTCTCTGAAAACAGTCTCTCCAATCTGGAAAATTTTTCTTCTATGCAATGTATGTCTTTTCAGATCACTTTTACAGAAAACGTAGCATTGGATCACTTTTAGAGGACAATTGAGAACTAGAAAAGGAAAAAAAGGTAGAGGGTAGGGCAACTCCAACCCCAGGCATCCACTCCCAGTGAGCCCTCGGCTGCATAGCGGCACACACACCCCACACTCAGCACCTGCTCTTCTTCACTTCCCTTCAAACAGGAGCTACTTTTCTCTATAATAAAGCAAGTAGTATTTCAGGGGATCTGGAAGAGGGAGGCTCAAGACCTTCTGGCGTAGGAAGTTTACAGGAGGGTCAGGCTTTGTTTCAGGCAGGGTCTTTTCTTCCTCCCGATGTTCCTCTTCCAAATCTTCACAGCTGTTGTCATCAGAGGGGTTGGAAATCCGACTGGCAAACACCTCTTTGTCCAAAAACACAATTGTTTCCATTCGACGGCGACGAACTCTCCTTCGTTTAAACCTGGGGGTGTTCTTTAGTCCATTTCCAGTTTTGCTCACTGCTTCTTGATGAATGAGCTTTTTAATAGTGCCACGGATGGCAATGCGGGCCAAGTCCTGCAGGCTACGGACTGCCAGCGGTGCTGCGGCACAAGGAAGGAACACATCACACTCATCTGCAGGCAGCACCAGTCTGCACACCTTAAAACCCTAGTATCTCGTATCATTGCACTTGTACAAATACAAGAGTATTCTAAGCAAGTGTCAACAAATGCTATAATTTGCATTTGTGTGGTAATTTTTAAAAGATATTTTCAACTACAGTAATCTTAACTTTGAAAATAAAAGGAAAAAATATTGCTTGGCTAACGAATCAACAGTAGAGATTAAAACATAAGTTAAAGCTTGTTTCTCTGACAGCCATTATCTGGGTATCACAGTCATCCAGGCATTCACACTCACTCAGTAGTGATGTGATGAGATATTAACAGCCTTTGCTCTATCTTAATATCTTTATATCAGTTAACAAATTGAATATTTATTCTTTTTTCAAGGCACTAATTTATCTAACTCTTACTTATTTTAATTTAGCCAGAGAAGGACAGACGGAAAGAGAGAGAGAGAAAGTGAGAAAGCAAGCCACCAGGTCCAGGATTCGAACTACAGTTGGTCATGTGGGAGTCCAGTGCCCTTAACAACCACACCACTTGCTGGCTCCATATCTGCTTCTTTTTTAATATTTTTGCTATGGGGCGCATGTACTTGACAGAAAGATACAGAAAGAGAGAGGGTGAGAGGAAGTGAGAAAGCACACCAGTCTGTTCTCCATTTTCCTCCTGGGATTCTGGGCATGCACACACATGCAACTGGTGTGGTTTTCAACTACAGGATCCAGAACTCAAACCACGCAATTGACATTGTAGGATTCAGCCATCTTAACCACACACCACAGGCTGGCCCTCCTTTTTTTTTTTTTTTTTTCTAAGTAGAAAAGTGCAAATCCAAACTTATTTCTTTTAGAGAGAGATTTTTCCTAAAGGGCATGTGTGTTTGCCAGAGAGACAGAAAGCAAGAAATCATTCCCCAGGAGGGTATGGCCATGCCACAACCCCTTCTCCAGTCTCCTCTTGAAATTTTGGGCACACATGCACAAGCTCCTGCCAAGGGTTTTAAGCCACCAGGTCTAGGACTAAAACTGCAGTCAACTACATGGGAGTTCAGCAATGTAACCATTATGCCAACTGCTGGACCCAAAATCCAAACGTTTAAAACAAAACAAAACAAAACTCCTGGACCAGCCAGTGGTGTGATGGTTAAGGTGGCTGGATCCCACATGGTTGACTACACAGTTTGAGTCCTAAACCTGGAAGTCTGAGAAACACACTAGACTTATATATACCCAAAATCCCAAAAGGAGAGAGAGATGGAAGAGATTGCAATGTGACCTTCCCTGTGGGGCTTTCTCGTTTCCTCTCTCTGTCTCTGGAAGCACACATGCTCTGTGCCAAAACTAAAAACAAACAAATGTGAAAGCACACCATGAAGAAATATTTAACAACTGAATTATAGCTTATAATTTAATACAGACTATACACATGTAACAATAAAGGGCTGGAGGTAGAGGTCATGTGTTTAAACACATTAAAATGGGGGCCAGGAGGTGGCATGGTAGTTAAAGTGTTGGACTCCCATATGGCTTACTGTGGTTCAAGTCCCAGACCTGGCACCTTGAAAAATCAAACTGGGCACATGTACATGTGTGCCTAAAATCTCAGGAGGAGAAGGGATTGTGGCATGGCCATCCCCCCAGGGGTGAGTTCTCACTTTCCCTCTCACTGTCTCTCTGCCTCTTCAGCAAGTATATATGCACTATGGCAAAGACCTGAAAAAAAAATGTGGATGACTTTGTTCTTTATGTTTCTTAGTTACCAAAATACATTAAACCAAAAATCTATCACTTTTTCCCTCTAGTACCAAACTTCTTCAAAGAATAAGAGTTTACACAGCATTTAATATTTTTTTCGAGATTTTTGCCATAGGGTGCATGTGCTCACCAGAGAGACAGAGAGAAACAGAGAGACAAAGCAAGAAATAATCCCCCAAGGGGGATGGTCATGCCATAATCCCTTCTCTTACAGTCTCCTCTCAGGATTTGGGGCACACATGCGTATGTGCCCAGCATGAGTTTAAGCCACTGGGTCTGGGACTCGAACCACAGTCGACTATGTTGACGTTAACAACTACACCATATGCTGGTCCCCACAGCATTTAATATTAAAATCAAAGAGGTATACACAGAAACTCGCCAAACTCTGCTGGTCTACATGCATCTTCAAACAGAGTGGGCCCAGGTTCCTAGGTGAATTGTAGAACAGACTGGGGCAGGCTCTTGCCAGAGACTGCACAATACTCCTCTCTCCTCAATCAACACCAACCTTTCTCTCCTGTTTTTCTACCTCTTAGGGCAAGAGACCCTCTTCCCTTTTCCAGGGTGGGCTCCAGCAATCCCTTCATGCTTAATCCTGCCCCACTGAGCATGATCAAGTCTCTTGCCTGTCTAAAACTCCATTCCTCCTCTAGTGCCACCATCTGTCTTTTCTTCTCCTCTGTTCTAGAAAGATTACTTCCACAGCCACTGGGCTCTAGCTGTTCAAGCCAAGATGCTGAAACAACTCCTTCACAGGATGTCAGACTCTTGTCAGCTCTGGCCTCTCCAGCTCTCCCTGAGGTGTCTGCTATGGAAAACTGAGCTGGCTCCTTGTCCTCTGACACACATCCATCCCTGAGTCCCCATGCTTCTCTCTCGTGTTGGCTCTTCCTTTTCTACCCAGCCTGATGCTCCTGAAGGTTCCAATTCCCATTTTCCCTTTTCAGTATGCCTGTCAATCCCTGATTGCACATGTGTTTTGTGGCTTTACACAGTAGATACTAGCCAAAGCCTCCCAAGGTTCTAATCCAATCCTGACCAGGTCCTGAGATCCCCACGGACTTATGTTACAAAGACTATTGCTACCTCAATCTCAGAAGGGCCATATGTGCCTCGGAATCCTTTCTACTATAAAGGCCAGCTTAGCTTCAGTCTTCATCTCCTACCTAGAAAATTCTAACTGGCTCACACCTCCAGTCTGTGGTTCCTTCATTCACCTTGAGAGCAGACTCCCACATGACTACATGAATTGTCATTTAACAACTGTCTTTACTTCTACAGTTTTGGGTTTTTCTATTCCATTATCTTCATCAACATGACTTTCCTAGACTACACTAGGAAACTAGCAAAGATATCTTTTTTACATCAAGAACCCTGGAGAGAATCACATAAGTATTTGTCACCCAATACTGGCTTTGAAGCCCATAGTCACAGGACCACACCTGGCTCTCTCTCAGACAGGGTCTTGCTGTGTTACCCAGACCACCCTCGAGGTGACAATTCTGCATCAGCTCCTCCAAGGTGCTAGGGTGACAGGCAGTTGCCACTGGCCTGCCTCTAGGATGGATAGAGCACTGAGCCCAGGCCTGCCTTGTGGCCCTCCTTGAGGCTGGACAGGGCACCAATCCCAAGCCTGCCCTGTGGTCCCAGTTTGCAGAGCACAACATCTTACCAGCACAAACCACAACGGCTACCCCATATGGTTAGTATTCCCATTCAGGCCACTCTGTCTTCACACCGACAGCCTCATTTTCAACAGGACTTGAACAATCTCATCAACACCCCACTGTGCGGGAGAGCACAGTCTCTGCTAAGGTTCTGGGAGCTGGCCCCCTTTACCAAGAGCAGTTTTGCTTAACGAGGTTATTCAGGCAAGATTTTCAGGGAACACACACTTAAAAAATTCACCCTTCACCAAACCACTGTAGTTATCCAGGATATCACGCCCCAGGCAGCATGACCATATTACAATCCCTTCTCCTCTATTCTCCTCCTTGGATTTTGGGCATGCATGAACATATACTCAGCATGAGTTTTAAATCACTGTGTCCAGGACTCAAACCACGGCTGGGACCAGCAGTTAGCATAATGGCTATGTCGCTGGACTCCCACGTCGACCACAGTTTGAGTCCCGGACCTGGTGGCTTAAATTCACGCCAGGCATGTGCGCGTGCGTGTGCGTGCCCAAGATCCCGAGAGGAGAATGGAGGAGAAGGGATTGCAGCATGGCCATCCCCCCGGGGAATGATTTCTCGCTTTCTATCTCTCTGTCTCTGTCTTTCTGGCGAGCACACATGCCCTATAGCAAAAACCTCTCAAACACACACACACACACACACACAAAGAAAAAAAACATGGTCAGCCATGTGGGAGTCCAGCACCTTAACTATCGTGCCACCTGCTGGCCACAACACACTGCATCTTTAAAAAAAAAAAAATCTGCTGATTCTTCATAGACAATGCGATGTGATAAATTCAACTCTAACCTACATACCAGTCCAGCTTATCCAGACACCCCAGCTCAAGACCACACAGGGGCACCTGAACCCCAAAATCTGCTCCTCGGCTGACACTTCCCCCCTCCTTCTTCCCTCATCAGGGGGTTTCTCTGCACTCTTGAGGACCAAGCACAGCATGATCTTCTGTCAGCTCACCCTGATCCCTGAAAGCCCCTATGCATATTCTAGTGCTGCTCACTACTGAATTCTGAGGAATGTGTCCACCTCATATGGTGCACCCTTAGCAAAGACAAAGGGATATAACCACCCAGTAAATGGTTCCTAGTAAATTTAAAACATTTTGAAAAGAATTTGCCAAAATATTTTTGAATGGTAGGACTATTTTTTTCTTTCTCTTCTCATTTTTCTTTTGTATTTTCCTACCTTTCTAGATAATCAGAGAGCATACTAAATTGTTTTTAAAGGTTTTGCCATGTGATGTGTGTACTCACTGCAGAGACAGAGGCAGTAAGAGAAAAAGTGAGAGACCACACCCCAGAAGTGATGGCCTCATTGCAATGCCTTCTCTTCCATTCTTCCCCTGGGATTTTGCATGTATGTGCACACACAGAGCATGATTTCTTTTTTTGAGAAAGGTTTTCACTATAGGGTGCTTGCATTCACCAGAGAGACAGAAAGCAAGAAATCACCCCCCACAGGGGGGGAATGGCCACACTGCAGTCCCTTCTCCTCTAGAGATTTTGGGCACATGTGCACACATGCCAGACATGAATTTTAAGCCACTGGGTCTGGAATTTGAACTGTGGCCAACTACATGTCCAGCAATGTAACCATTACACTATCTGCTGGTTCCTCTCAGCATGATTTTCAAGCCTCCAGATCCAGCACTCAAACCATAGTCCCAGCAGTTAGCGTAATGGCTATGTCGCTGGACTCCCACGTAGTCGACCGCGGTTCATGTCCCGGTCCCGGTGGCTTAGAACTCACGCCGGGCGCGTGTGCGTGCGTGCCCAAGATCCCGAGAGGAGAATGGAGGAGAAGGGATTGCGGCGTGACCATCCCCCCTGGGGGGTGATTTCTTGTTTTCTGTCTCTATGTCTCTGTCTGTCTGGCAAGCACATGCGCCCTATAGCGAAAACCTCTCCAAAAAAAAAAAAAAAAAACACAGTCAGCTTTGTGGGAATCCAATAACTTAACTACCACTCTGCCTGCTGACTGCTGACCCCAACTTCTCTTGAGCAGTGCATTACCACTGAGCCATAGAACCAGCCCAAACTACAATTTTTAAAAATTATTTAATTTTATTTATTCATTCATTTATTTAATTTGATCAGAGAGAGACACAGAGAGAGAGAGAGGGAGGGAAAGGGAGGAAGGAGGCTGCCAGGTCCGGGACTCGAACCGTGGTAGGCCATGTGGGAATGTCCAGCTTCTTAATCACCACACCACCTGCTGATTCCCCAAACAACAATTTTTTAAATGCATACAATTCTTGGGACCAGCAGTTAGCGTAATGGCTATATCGCTGGACTCCCATGTAGTTGACCGCGGTTCGAGTCCCAGAACCGGTGGCTTAAACTCACACCAGGCACATGTGCGTGCGTGCCCAAGATCCTGAGAGGAGGATAGAGGAGAAGGGACTGTGGCGTGGCCATCCCCCCTGGGGGGGTGATTTCTCGCTTTCTGTCTCTCTGTCTGTCTCTGTCTTTCTGGCGAGCGCACACGCCCTATAGCAAAAAAAACCTCTCCGGAAAAAAAAAAATGCGTACAATTCTTAGTAAAAAGTTAAGGTTTCAGTGGAGGCAAAGGTCTGTAGCATCAAAAGGTTACTTGTAATTTTTGTTTCCTTTCCAATTCTAAAGAGATTATAAAGAGCTAAAACCCATGGTCTAATGCCAAATCCCATGTGGCCACTTTTGTGGTTTGAATACTGGCCCTGACTGCTTGAAGAACCCCTCAGATGTGTGTATGTGCCCCAAATCCAGACAGGGTGGAGAAATGGAAGAGAAAAGAACGTGACATGACCATGCCCCTCTGGAAGTGCTTTCCTCCCTCCCTTCCCTCTCTCTGTCTCTCTGTGGGAGCACACACATCATTTGGCAATTTAAGGGGGAAAAAGTATCCTCTGGCAAATTAAAAAAAAAAAAGAACTAAAAGGTAAAATGACTAGTGATCTGTGCACTTACGTAACTGGACGAGTCTTGGTTTTCCTGACTCTGAACGGCAGGGCTGGATCAGAGGAGCAAATGAAACAGCCAGAATCTTTTTGGTTTCCCAGGCAGAAGGACCTGTGCGTGTTATTTTAGTCAACTATCCCAAAGGCAAAACAAGAATATTATAAAGATTAGCTATTGAATAGATTATCTTTAAACATAATAACCCCTATATATATAATCTAGAAAATTACAACAGATAACCCTGAAATAAAATAACCTGACAATATAGATGCTGACTGATATGAAGCAGATCTAATTTATGAGTATTCTTGCAAAAATGCTTAGCCTGAATCTATTAGGCCCCTCGATCTAACTTCTGTTTACAGGAGATACATACATGATAGAGAAGGTAGGTAATGGACAACAGAGAACAGTCAGATCGAGAAAAGAGGGATTAAACACAGCTTTCTTGAGCATTCAGAAAAAAAGTCA